CTGAATTTCTTGCAATGTACACTGGAAAAATCTTGGAGCAACTTATAAAGTTAAAGGGAAGAGAAATAAATATAAATTTTTGCACCTGTTTGTTTATTACATCCATTTGTTTTAAAATATTTCGAAATGAATGGTATATACTCGATCAGAGATTATTGTGCTTCCGTACTTCCATAATTTATGCTTTTTTTTTTCCTTTTTTTCTTTTTTTCTTTCGATTGAATTTTTTTTGGGAACAAATGCTCTTGCAGGGTTATTCCGAAACAGCGGAACAGAGAAGAGGATAAATAAATGGGGGATTTTTTTTTTTTAAACGAAGAAAAGTCAAACTTAGCAAAATTCCTTCATCTTGATCAAAGTTTTGCAAAATTTATTGCATAAATTAAATTTTATTTACTTGCGTTAAGACTTCCAAACTTTGTTTCTGTTAAACAATTCAAAGAATCCCTCACTGTAGGAAATTGAATTTGGGTAAGAAAAAAATGAAGTACATTTTAATCAAAATTTGAAACTTATTGCATTTAATGGAATGCATATAATTATTATATAAAATATTGCTTATTGTAAATCGGATAGAGTAAAATTGAAATTCTGGAAGTTTATAAATGTGAAAGATGGCAATTATTTAACAGTTTTAAATAACTTTTTCATTCTCCTTATAGAGCAACTGTTTTGAATAAATTAAAAAATTATTCTTTTCGAAAGAAAACACAGAAATAACGGTATCATAAAAATGCTCAGCAATATTATATAAGTATATTCTAAACAGTTAAGTAGAAGTGATCACTGCCATTATTATAAATCCTCATCATAAAAAAAAGTATCGAATTTCTTTTCATCGGAAAGATTGTAAAAGATGATGGAAACTTTAAACGCCTCATTAAATTTCGAAATTTCCTCATTAATTTCTTGCTGAGGGAAAAAGTGCGTTGAAATGAAGATTATATTTATTGTTTTGCAAAAAAAAGAATGAAGAAATTTTTTTAAAGAAATTAGCAAACTTCATTAATCTCAAGAAGTATTAAAAATTGAACCAAATCGCTAAATGCATAAAATTTGTTCCAAGTGTTTAATAAAAATAACTTTGTGAACATTACAATGACAAATAATATTTGGTGCAAAAAAATGATTGTTAAAAAATGATAAAATACTACTATGGTTTTGATGATATGTAATAACATTATGCGTAAACTTAAATTTCAATAATTTAATTATTAAAGTTTCTCAGGAATCTTTAATGCGTTAAAGTATTTAAAAATTCAGTTGATATTTAAAAGCTTACTTTGATGAAATGCGCTGTCATAACTATGAATTATTATAAATTATTATATATTTGATCAGTTTATAAATTATTATATATTTGATCAGTTGTTTTTTAGGGCTAACAATATTGAATGGGAATTATTGAGTGGTCTTTTCATGTTATCATTGCTTATTTTCCTTCATTTCCGAAGGAATGAACGAATTTTAAGGCTTGAATTTATGTCGAAACTTAAGGTGAGAATAAATTTCACATTGCCTAAAAGATAATATTTCATTTTTCTGGCGAAATATTCTATTGGCAATAAATTTATCAAAAAAAAACGGCGGAATTTTTATTACAGTAGGAAGTCTTCAAATTTAACAGACGGCATTATTGATTGATTAGATAAATTCTGTTCACTATTTTCGGAGTTTTCCTTCTTTTTTTTTGTTATTAAAGAAAAAAAGCGAAAAATAAAAAAACGAAAGAAGAGAAAAAAATTGAACAATTTGCTTTATGATTTCATTTTTCTATCTTTTTATCCATTTTCTTCTTTTTTTTTGAACATTCACTTCAGCATTATCAATAAATAATGATGAAATATGAATCATATATATTTCAGGAGTTAGAAGAGACATCGAATGCAGAACAAATTGAATTAGCTAATCAACAAATGCTTCAAAATGCTCTACCATCACATATTGCACAAAATTTCCCGACAAAATCTGACCTTTATCATCATATTTGTCATAGTGTTGGAATAGCTCATATCACGGTATGCCGCATTTGATTAATTTTACACATTTTTACTTTCATGCTAAATTAAATATTTTATCGAAGAAGAAAAAAAGAAAGAAAAATTAACTAATTAGGAATATGATGTGTGCTGGAAAAAAAAGAGTAAAATTTTTTCATTCCAAATTTCTCCAATGGAACGAGTTCGAAACACAAAAAAAATCCGTCACTAGCAAATGAAGTTTAAAATTTTTATTGGAATTAATTATGAAAATAATTGAAAAATGCTACAAAAAATTGTCGAAAAAATTTACTTATTTAAAATAAAAATTTATCAAATGAGAGTAGCAAGAAAAAAAAAATTATTACAATTTTTCTAATTTTAAAAACAATTTTGGTTGACTTGCTCTTTTATATTTGTTCTTTTGATTTGCAGATTTTAAGCGACGATGATGATGGTGAAGCTGCCGTAAGAAATCTCAAAAATTTAATATGCATTTTTGATCAGGCAAATATTTTTTTGTTTCCAATTTCATTCCAAATTTTTATTTTACGTTTAATTTTTGGAAATATTTTGATTGCTTGATGTTAATTTCAAAAAAAAAAACAGAGAAACTGTAATCCATTTCAGATCGTTATGCAGCATCGTGGAATTGAGAAAATTCGAGGATGTCAGAAGAATTATATTGTTGCAGTGGGTGTCATTCCAGAATTTTGTAAGAATGTACGTTTTTACATTATTTCAAAATTCAAATGAAAATTTTTTTTTATAAAAGATATATTATCATAAGTCAAAATATTCAAAATTGGTAGTTTTTGTACTGTGTGATTTTTTTTTTAAATTTTTGAATTTAAAATTCATCAAACTCATAGATTAAAAAGAATAATGCCTGCACTATTTTAAGTACCGAATTATCAATTTACACTCGATATTTATAATCGAATATGCATTTATTTATTTCAAAATTTTGTCTACTGCAGTTATATTTTTGAAATAAATAAAGGTTCACGATACGCCATCAACAATTGGTGATTTACTTGCTGAACTCACGCAATTCGCATTAGATATTTCGGCATTTGCTGCTGATCATGGTATTTCCCTAAATATTGGTAAGCAATTTTTTAATTTTGACAATAAATTATTAGGATAATTATTGGGAAATTATCAGCATAAATTATTAGGTAACAGGTATTTGGCTAAATGTTACATAATATTAAAATATATGTAAAATTGAAGTTGCTCTTTCTCTTTCTCTCTCCCTTTGGTATTAAAATATGCATGGAATTCAGAAATTTTGTAATTCTTAAAATTATTAAGGTTGAAAAGAATAAAATAGAGGAACAGTAAAATCTGTATTCATTTTTTGCATCTTTAATAGAGACATTGGAGATAAAAAAAGTAAAGTTTTCTGCCAAATTTCATTCAAAAATTGACAATCTAAGTTGATTTAGCATATTAAAATATTTAAATAGTTATTTTAGTCAATAGTTATTTTGTCTAATTCTGATGTGATATTTAACTACATTGAATTTAATATGACAATCAATGAAATATTGAATACATTTGCATAAGAAAAGCGTTTTTATTTCTTGTGTATGTTTAAATGTTTCAAATATTTGTAATTCAAAAAGAAAATAATTGCCTGAAAGTAAAATGCATAATTTAATGAAGTTTATTTTTGATTATTGAAATTTTGACAAATAAAAGAAAAGCTGAACGAGAAAAAACAATTAAGGTATCGATTGCGGATCAGTTCTATCAACAGTTGTAAATAGTCAAAAGCCTACATATGAACTGATTGGTATGCCATGTTTGGGTGCTCGTACTTTAATGCAACATGCTAATTGTTACGGTATTATGGTATCCGAGGAGATCTATTTAGCTTTGAGGCCAAGGAATTTCAATTTTGATTCACGACCAATTAAAATTTCAAAAAACCTTAATGCATATGTATTCGAGGATAATTATCCGGATACCAGTTATCAGGCTGATGAAACGGACATCAATTCATCATCTATACCACCGGAACAAAATTCAACATCACAGAATCCATTAGAGGTTATTTTAGAATTTCACTTTGCTTTTATTTCTTATTTTTCTATTTTATTTCTGTTTATTTTAGAATGTCGCTTTGTTTTTATTTCTTAATTTTTTATTTTATTTTTTTAATTGGAACAGATTTTAAATGTTAAATACGTTATGTAGTATTCGTAATTTATATTCAATTATTCCTTATTTATTCTTTTTTCAGTTATTTGCTTCAATGAATTCATCATTTTCGTCTGAAGTATATTCAATAGATGTTGGTGTTGAAACAGATTCAGAAATGGAATGGATTACACCGGAAATGTTATTGTATGAAAAGAATGCACAATTTAATGCACAACCATCAACTTCATCTGTGCAACCTTCAATACACACCAATCAGAATTATTTCGATTCTCAAGCATATATTTCATCTGATTCACAAGTATGCATGAATTTATAAACTTTTAAATTTTGATGCAATATTGTTTAGAACAAATTTTACTAAGCTTATTTTTTGCATGCATTTTACTAAAATTTTCCTCTAACAGTGTCTCATTTCAAAAATGCTAATAGCTAATTTGAAATGTAAATTTAGGTGAAATTTTTTTTAGTAATTTAATAAAAATTGGTGAAAATGAAATTTGAATTATTGAATATTATTCGTTCATTCTAATTAACTCTGATTTTGTTAAAATAAAAATGTTGAAAAATGAAATGATCACATCATCTTCAAAATTTTTTGGTGTGAGAGTTGCATATATTATAATAGTGAAAAGTGAATTAAATTTATATTTCGAATTTTTTTTTGCAATGAATCAATGAAATTTAGGATGATGATTAATGAAGCTAAAAATTTGATATATTTCAGCGTAAGCAGTCAATGACACCAGAACGAAGTCGTCGTCGACGATTTTATATGGGACGAACACCAAGTTGGTTAAATCAATCAATAATATCGGATGCAAGTCGAGTAGTATGTGACGGAAATGACAAGCTTGCTGCTGCAGCGACTCGTGTTGATCGAATGTTAGCTGAGCTAACAGCAATCGCTGATTTTGATTCGACACCTGAAGGTCATCCATTTCCAACTGCGCTTTCCGCCTCAACTAAAAGCTTGAGGTAAACTTTTTCGATGGTTTTTTTTTTTTACATAAAATACCATTCATTGAATAACATAAATGATCATTTGCAATTTTATATTGGATAAAATTCTAAAATTATTATTATTATTATTTTTTTTTTGAAGGAGAGATATATCAAGCGCTTGTCATACTGAATATGATAATGCTGAATCAGAAGGCAATTGGTCCGATTCTGAAATGCTCGATAGTCGATTAGAGCGGCTTCATAAAACTTTGAAGTATTTTTGAGAAATTTTGTTCAATATTTTTAGACATTATTTTTTGCAAACATTCATTGCGTAAATTTTTTTTTTATTATTTTACAGTTGGAAAAGGAATGTTTGTTAACAATTAATTATGCAAATAATTTCATTTTAACATCATGCAATGTTAACTAATTATAGAGATTGTAGCCGTATAAGCATTCCACAACGAAGAAGATATAGATTATGGAGTCAGAGTGATAATGGTAATGATGCTGATATCGATAGCATCTGCTCATCTATTGGTACATCATCTTTTTTCAGTAATCTTCGATGGAATAGGTTATTGTTGAAACTTTTTATACTTAATTGCAAATTTAAGGATTAAAATATAATCTTATGTAAATAAACAATTATATATTGTGGTAATATAAAGTAATTGGTATCTATTAGCAATTGTCTTTGTTAAAATTATTTATCAGTTTTTTTTGATAACAATTGTTTATTATATTATTGTTGCAAGGATCAAATTTGCAGTATAATTTTGCTTCATTTGTACTCAAAAAATATGATAGCTGTAACAATAATTATAATGAATTATAAGCAGTATGTACTGGAAATGAATAATAAATGTTAGCAAACAACAGCATTCATGTTATTGTGATCTACTTTAACTAATATTATTCGATATGCATAATTTATTTAATCGATCACGTTAATTCTTCATAAACATATAATACTGTTGGAAAAATTAAGCATGAAAAATTATATATTTTGAAAAATAAAAATTTTTCACAATTAAAATTCAAATTTTCGTTACAGTGTTCATTCAATTGGTTACGAAAATGAATACGAATTCGCTTCTAAGGAAGACCTCAAAGAGATTGCACGTAGTCAAATGGAAGCATTGAGTCGTGATATACGTATGAGTTTTGGTGATTATCAACTTACCACATTTCCAAATAATAATCTCTGAGAGAAAAAAAAAACTAATCTAATTAATTGAAATTCTAGCAAAAAAATGTAAAATTATATGAAAATATTTGGGAAAAATTCAGATTTATATGATTGAGAAAGAAGAATTTGATAATTTTTGCAAACAGTCAAAACTTTTTATTCACATTTATTTATGTTATTTTTTTATCGCTAGGAATTTATCAAATTTTTTCCACCAATGATAATTAATTTGCTTATCATTTATGATTTTTTGAAGTGTTCATTACTTCAAAAATTTGCTCTTTAATGAAACGAACTTGGAAAGTTTTTTTTTTTAATGTTTATACTTTTGTTTCATTGTATTTTCATTCTCTCTCACATCGATCAATAAACAGTGTAATTGCTTGCCAAATTTTATTCGCTTTTTTTTCTCTTCAAATTACCATAGTTAAAATTTTATGCTCAAATTTGTTTGCTAATTTTCCAATTATATAATTTTTTGGTCAAAGATCAATTTGTTTTGGTGTTAAAGAGATAAGTAATAATAAAATCTAATTTGAAATAATTCATCATTGGCAAAATATTTATCACACCATGTAAAATTTTCATTCAGTGAACTGAAAAATTCAAAATATTAGCATAATTGGATTAATATTTTCAATTCAGTAGAAATTTAGATTCAAAATGGCTTTGGGATTTCTCCACTACATGCATACATTGATATCCTTTTCTTATAAATTCATATACATGATTGAGTATAATCAAACCTTAATTGATAAAACTTTGAAATATCCAGAAAATGAAACCAGAAGATAGAATTTTAATTGCTCATACTTAACTAAGCTTATAAAACCAACAGGAGGATGGAAATGCTAACATCTCTTATCATGGATGATATTTTTGTCAACAAGAGATAAGGATGGTGTCATTAAATTCCTTTTTATGTGGAATTTAAATTTAATTCATCAAATGCCTTTTATGTGTTAATAATTAAAATAAACGGGAACTAAATGGCGTGAAACAACTGTTAGTTGCTATCATTTATTCCTTGGTTCATTTCTGTATCCAATTAGTGAATGCTTAATTAGCTGTAATAGTTCAAAAAATTCTGTATTATTTTCAATCAAATCCATTTAGCTCATAATTTCTCGGCATCAGTTAGCTAAGAGTTTGATTATTTAGTGAACGAAGAAAACGTGTTCTTAAATTAATGAATTATCAGTAATTTTGTCAATTATTTCTTGTTATTGATAATTTTTAACACTTTTAATTAAGCAATGAAATTTACTTAAACATTACTCTCATTATTCTCATTATTTTAAATTCAGACATAAAAATTGTGGAAGAAAATAATCTGCACTAATTAATTTTTTTCTGTTAATGATTTTCCATTATTTCTTATTACTTTCTTTTCTTTTACTTGCATTTGTTTCTAACCTTAATTATTAATAATTTATGCTCACATAATGTTATATAAGTATTCATATTCTTTTCTTATTTTCGCTCAACAATAAGATAAATATGATACTGTGCAAATAAAACAATAAGTAATAAATAATATCCATTTAAGAAATATTATTACAATATCATTCGAATTTCCCAGATCAGTTTGAAACACTGATTTAATCATCATTCATTCATTCATTTGTTTATTAAATAATATTGTAATTAAAATCATGAAATTGATATATATGCAAGTAATCACATAATTTATATATTGATATGAATTCATTTAAAATGCATACTTAATTTGTTGAAAAAACAAAAAAGAATTCTCGAATCATTTTGTTTTCCTCCGTTTTATTCTTTCATTTTAAAATTCATTTAGGTTGATTGTGTTTTTTGATCAATCGTATCACTTTAACACATTTCGCAGCTCCATCTTCAATTATACGTGCCTCTTGAATGATTGCTCGAGCAGGTACCAAACGAAACGTGTAATCACGTTTAATGAATTGACACGTGTATGATAATAGGTTAAGGCATGCAATACGTTCTTGCACTAATCCATTACTACATCCTTCTTCTTCACTGCAATATTTTTCGCATCACAATTGCATTTTAAATTTTTTTCTATTTTTATTAATTAAAAAAAATGTTTATCTTACAAAAAATAAAAATAAAAATACCTGGGTGAAATTTTTATTTTTGGCAATAATTCAATCATATTTTGCCAATGATTATTTTTTGATTTATGATCGCAATCAATTAATCGTTGCTTAATCACTTCGGCTAATCGTTTTTCACGAATATCACGTACTGTTTGTGCTGGAAATTTGCGCTGAAATTCTGTCGCAATTTGTTGGAAATCTTTTGAACAATCTGAAAAAAAAAGAAAGTAACTGTGTGATAAATTGTTTGATGAGAAATTATCTTTTAAAACAAAAAAAAATTAATTCTTAAAAACTATAATATCATTTATCAATTGTTGTCTTTTAGAGCGACAAAAGAATGAAATATGATTATTGTCAATTTTATATCATTAAAAAATTTGAATTATTGATGTAGGAAAAATGGATGATTATGGCAAATACTTTTTCTTCTATATTTTTGCAATAAATTGGTTTGAAAATATTTTTTCTATAATTTTAAATATTTTTGGAAAAAATTAGCACTAAACAAAAAAAAAGGTGATAAGAGGTAGTTTTTTTTTGCATACAATGTTTGTTAAGTTGAAAACTTTTCAACATTAAAAATTAATTAAGGAAAGAAAGAAAAAGTTTGAAATTGTAATAATTTTAATTATACCTTCGCAAAAATGAAATTTGATCTTTTTTGTAATAGAATTAATTATAAATTCTTACAGCATGTTGTGATAAATAATAAATTATTAATGAACAATGGAAATAATTTAAGTAAAATAAAATTTTGTTAAACTAAAAAAAAGATATATATCAAATTTGAAAAATCATTTTATAAAGCAGAGAAAGTTATTCCTTACAACGAGCTAATGATCTAATTAAATAAATAATGGAAAAATATTGTGCATATCAAATGTATTCCGAAATTTCATCGCAAAAAAAGGAACAATTGAAATTTTGGCATAAGAAGGAATTGATGTTATCTATGAAAAAAATTACTGTTACAATTTTTCCTAATAAATAATTGATTTTAAAAATTAAACAAAGTACAATTTTTAATAAAATGTGTTGTAAAAAAAGAATTAAAATTAGATCCAAGAACAGTGTAGGAATTGGCATTGTTCTGTTCATAAATAAATTTACTCATTTCAAATACGAATCAAATTAGAATGAGAAGAAATAATTTTAACAATATCTGATGTGCACTGATTAAAATAATTAATTTCTATCAATTTGAGTAATTCGGTGTAAAATATTTAAATAATGCCCATTGCATAGTAATGAAAAAAGCATCAGCTTTTACAAGATTATTTGAGAAAAACAAATAAATGAACCAAAAATTAAAATGAAGTCTTACATTCACTTACATTTACTCGCACGTGAGCCAGAAGCAAAATTATACCTAATTGAAATTTGATTTAATTATTAACTACTATTTATATTTTTTCAACTTATTGGATTTTGTCATAACTTTTTTGCTATATATTTTCAAAATATTGTAATTTGATAATTACCAAAATCCGGAACAATTGCTAAATTAGAAACATTGTAATTTAGTCCTAAATTCGTAAAAATAGTTTAACGGATTTCCAATATAAATATTTCACAGTTGACGAGCATTGAGTTTCATCATTTAGCAATGATCGTTTCATTTCAATAAAATAAAATTAGGGTAAATAAGTGAATTAACTAAAAGTTAGCATAGGAATATTGATAGTTTCATAAAAATATTCAAATTGGGTGATGTCGGAAGCTTCTCATATTGCTAAATTAACTGTACTAAATACAAAACTGGCCAATGTTTAAGTCAGTCAACATTACTGTCTGCATAATATATCAAAAATGAAATATAAAACCAGCCAATAGATCAGATTAAACAAATTAATTCTAATTGCTATCTTAATTTTTAATTAGCACACATTGTTTTTGGCATCCCGCTTATTTATGATTGAAAATTAAACTGCGGTTTTTTTTTTTTTTTCAATCATAAATCAGCGTAATTTTTTATGACAAATATAATAACAATGTTTATTAAATTTGACGGATTTTTAAATAATAAAGTTGATTAATAAAATCAAATATTTTAAATTAGCTGCTATTTGTTCATACAATTAATAATGAAACTGATAGGTTTTATTGGTGAACGATTATTGTTAATCGTTTTCGTTACTTAACAATTAAGAAATATCGGGAAGTGAAAAGATAAAAAGGTATGAAATGACATGAATAATACATATTAATTAAAAATTAACACAAAAAATAAAATTAATTTGTTTAATCGAATATTCAATCATCGGTACGCCTCTAAACAAAAATGAAACAAAAGAATAGAAGAAAAAAATAGAAAAATTTTAAGATATAAATGTAATAAAACTAATTCGTTTAATCGAATACTTAATCATTCTTATATCTTTAAATAAAATGAAACAAATAATTTAAAATTTCGAAAATATTGAGATATAAGAACGATGAAATATTTGATTAAGCAAATTAATTTTAATTCCGAAAAATTCTTCATTAAAAAATATGTAAAATGCAGTAAACCATGAATGTATATTATAATAACTATTAATTACAGCAAGAAAAATAAATGTTGAAATAATTTCGAGCAGGTTTTGGTTATCGATAAGATCAGGAAGTTAAAAAAGAAACAAGAATTTAATGATAAC